CCTGCCATTGGGTGTGTAGATATTTATTATGCTTATATCTTCATAGTGGATCTCCCTTTAATCATGATATAGTGCCATTCTTTGTCTTTTATGGATTTTGTTCTGAAGTCTATTTTAACTGAGATTAGTATTGCCACTCCTGCTCTTTTTTGGTGGCTGTTTGCTTTATATGTTTTTTTCCATCCTTTGATTTTTTAATAAATTTATGTCTTTGTTTCTAAAGTATGTCTCTTGTAGACAGCATATAGATGGATCCTATTTTTTTATCCATTCTGTCACTCTCTGTCTCTTTATGGGTGCATGTAGGTCATTTACATTCAGGGTAATTATTATAGGTGTGAGTTTATTGTTGTTATTTTGTCATGCTTTTTTTGTGGTGCTGACGTTTTCTTTGTTCCTCTTACTCTCCTGTGCTGAATCCCTTTTATTTGTTAAATTTTTTTCGTTTCTTTTGCTTTTGTAGATTGTGTTTTTACTGAGACTTTATGTTTCTCTTCTTTATTTTGATGAATAGGTTTGCTAACTTTCTTTGTGGTTACCTTGAAATTCACCCTTATCTTCCTAGGTTTTAACTAGTCTATTACAACTTGTTATCACCTAGCCTTCCCCTCCGTTAGAAAGTTCTATACCTACACCACTTATTCCCTCTTTTGTTGTTCTAACATTGTTGTCATTTTCAGATTAACTTCTCTGGTTTCCTGTTGTAAATCTTGCTAGTTTTGAATAGTCCTTGAGGATTCATTTCCTAGGTTGGTATCTGGCTGGTGCAGTCTTCTGTCCTAGTTCAGGCTGTCATATGATGTTGTTTTTTCTCAAACTGAAGAACTCCCTCTAATAATTCTTTAAAGTCTTGTTTGGTTTTTACAAAGTCCCTTAATTTCTGTTTATCTGGAAAGGTCCTAATTTCACCATTATATTTGAATGAGATTTTGCAGGCTATATTATTCTTGGTTGGCAATTTTTTTTTTCTTTCAAGGTTTTATCTGTGTCATCCCATTGCCTTCTTCCTGCATGGTTTGTGCTGTGTAATCAGAGCTTAGTCTTATTGTTTCCTCTCTGTATGTGACTTTTTGTTTTTCTGGAGATGCTCTCGGGATTCTTTCTTTGTCCTTGGTTTTAGCGAGTGTGATTATGATATGCCTTGGTGATCTTCTTTTGGGGTCTATCCTATATGGGGTTTGTTGAGTTTCTTGGATGGTCAGCTTTTCATCTTTCATGATATTAGGGAAGTTTTCTGTCAGCAATTCTTCGGTGATCCTCTCTGTGTTTTCCATTTTCTACCCCTTTTCTGGAACTCCAATCACTTACAAATTTTTACTTTTGATTGTATCCCACATAATTCTCAGAGTTTCTTCACTTTTTTTTTTTCTGGTTTCTCCTCAAAGTTGTATCCAAGTGTTTGTCTTCAATGTCACTCATCCAGTCTTTCATTGTTTCAAACCTGTCCCTCAGCCCTTCTATGACACTGCCGATTTCTGAAATCTTGTTGTTTATCCTTTGGATTTGTAATTTTTGTTTTGTATGGTTTCTAGTTGTGAATTTATTTTGTAATTTTATTCCTGTATTATTTTTCTGAATTCTTCCAGTTTTTTTGTCTGTATTTTCCATGAATTTGTCCGTTTTTTTCTATCAATTTGTCTATTTTTTCCTCATTTTTGTCTGCTTTTTGCTTCAACTCTTGGAGAGCTCTGAATATTAGAGATTTGAATTCCCTATCGGGTAGTTCTAGTGCCTTTTCTTCTACTGGAGAATCATCTGGTGTCTTATTTAGGAAGCCTAGTGGAACCATCCTGTCCTGTTTTTTTTTCATATATTTTGATATTGTCTGCTGTCTTTGGGACATTCAGTTGTTATTTTCTTTGTTTATTGATTGTAGATGTGTTTGTTTCATCTTGCTTTTTTGTTTTATTTGGTTATGTCTGATCAGGTGGGCTCTGTGTTCTTTCTTGTTTGCTCATCTGTGGACACAGTATTTTTCACCTCTTTGTCTCATGGGCAGGGCCAGTTGCTCAGCTGTGGTGCAGCAGGGCAGGTCCAGCTGAAGGGGAATGGCAAGCATGGGTTGTCTGTGGTACATACTGGGGCTGATAAGGTGAGCCGTGGTTCAGTGCAATACAGGTTCTAGTAGGCTGCTCCAGATGCAATGTTCAGCACACGGTACAGATAGGCAAGAGGGAGGGGGAGGGGGGATTGTGATGTTTGGAACTACGTTTTTTATGGAAAAGAAGAGAGAGGAGAAATGGGGAAAAAGTGCTGAGGGAGCCTTCTGTTGGTGTGGAGAGACAAGAAACTTAGAAAATGAAGAAAAACAAAACGTAATAAAATAAATAAAGAAATACAAAGTTTTAAAAAATGCTCCCAACGATCCCACTGGTGCAGCTGCACAAACTGGGAATGTGGCTCCCAAGCCACTCAGTACACCCTGACTAGAAAAGATGGTGATCATACACAGTGCCAGGCAGCCAGGAGACAGGAAAAGAAAGTAAGTAGAAAGAGATGAGAAATCAAGAAATGCAGAAAAATAAAAAGCAAAAAAGATAAAACAAACAAAGAAAAAAAAGCTCCCAAGGATCCCACCAGTGTGGCAGCGTCAACCAGGGAAGCAGTTCCCCAGCTGAGCAGCACATCACAACCTTTCAGAAGTAGCAAAGATGGCACACAGAGTCAACTGTTTGAGAGAAAGGAGGGGGAGGAGGTGAGAGACAGGGAAGAAACCAAAAGAGGCCAAAGAAAGCAACACCAGCAACAAAGATGTGGCAGTGGAGAAGCCAGCCTGTGTGGGTGGGTCAAATCCATGAGGCACAGGAACCAGTGCCTTGCGTGCCATGGTCTCTGCCTACTGGAAAGTGATGGATTGGCCCACCAGTAAGCAGTTAATCATCCTGCTGAGAAGCTGTAGATTGGCCCACCATGAACTAGTGAATCGGCCTCCCAGGAAGCTGGGATCAGCCTGCTGAGAAGCCTCGGATTGGCCAGCCAGGAAGCCTCTGATGAGCCAGCCAGGAAGCAGCAAAGGTAGAGCAGGGGGAGGCAAGGTAGGGGGTGGGAAAGTGTGTTTTGCTGGTTAGTGGGTGCTCTGTTTCCTGCCAGGAGCTCTGTGAATCTGTTTTCCCATACTCCTTGTCCACCTATCTCCAACAGGAGTCCCAGATGGTGGATCCATGCTTCATTAGCTGATGGGTACTGCCACTCGTAACTCTCCTCACTCTGTTCTCTGTCAGTTTCTTAATCCTTTTGGTGCTTGGTTGAGTTCTTTATCTCTTCATCTGACACTTAGGGTTCATGCATTGACGTTTGTCTCTGTTTTACTGAGCTTTTGGGGTCTTTGCTGTGGAGCGACGGCATGGTGCTTCTGTCTATAGCGCCATGTTGGCTCTGCCTCGTCATAAGAAATATTTTAATGGTGGATTGTTTGAGTACCTTTTACTGGATTAATTAAATTAGTTCATAAAATGGATGTTACGTGATAGCTATTTATGAATATGTTTTATAGCTTAACTTTTAACAAACTTGTATGAAATAAATGTTCCCGGTACACACTGGATTTTAATGAAAATCAATGAGCAGGCTGTGCCCAGCCGAACTCTAGGACCAGCAGGGAGCAGATAAAACCCTTCAGAGCAAACCAGCCCTCCAGTTAAGAATAGACTCTGTTATCTTGTTCTGATGACTGGTTTTATTTTCTTCGTTTATCTGCCCCCTAGCAGATAAATGAAACCCTATTTGCTTTAATCTTAGAAGAACATTTCCCCTTTACACCTCACTTGGTAGTTTGTAATGATAATTAATTTATGTACAAAACGTTTATGTATTATTTGGCTAATATTAATATTAGGCTAAAAACCCTCACATTAAATATTTTAATACCCAATCAACATGGTTGAATTTAAAAAAAAAAAAGTATGTGAGCAGTATAGTTAATGGAGTCCCAATGAGAAGAAATGTATATCTATATTTTTAATGAGCACAAAAAATAGAATGAGGAAAGAATTCTTTATAGACACATGAGCTCTGTGGGAAGGTGTCCTGTGGGCAACTGATTCTTATTATATCTTGGTCGGAAAGGAATGAAGTGGGGTTATTGCAGGTGCAGTCAATAACCTGGTTTTTCCCTTGTGAACTGGCTGCAGTAGGTGACTTTATTTCTTCACATTAGACAGCTGGCAATGTGTATTGATTCATTGCCTTTTCATTTGAGGGTCAGCGCCATCAAAGATGGAGCCATAGAAATGCTCTGTTTGCTGGATATGAGCAAATGCATTAGTGTCTTTTTTGGTCTGAATGTTACTAAGGTTTTTAGGAACAAGGTAAAAACTATGGAGGATTTTTGGTCCAAGGATATCTGTGACTGCAGATTATTTTTTAGAAGTTAAATATAATTTAAGTGGTAACAGTGGTATGGTTCTTTTCTAAGACTGTGTTATTCTTCCTACAATTTTAATTTTCTTCTAAATATTGTTTGTCCTACTATACAATTAGTTTTTATTTGGTAATTATTATTTGTTTTTATTTTACAGGTAATGTTATTTCTCTTATGACTTTTAGCTTACGTTTACCTTTTAAATTATCTAACCAACTCACTCATTTTGTAAATGAGGAAACTGAGGTATAGAGAAATCAGTTGATTTTTTCTAAGTGTAATGAACAGTAGTATTACTAAAAGGATGTCTTCAGTTATAGTACTTCAGATTTCCTCTTAATGTTAAACTTTAAGACTTGGATGATTTTGAATCTTATGTTGTTGAAGTTGTCTTCTAAAATTTACAACATTGAAATCTTTAAGATAATAGATTTTCCCCTTTTTATTTTCAGTACAAATGTAAGATACATGACAAAAGCTGTTAAAAGCAAAGAGACAAAAAAGGCTTAAAATTGTTATAGTTTCTTTGTATTAAGTAAAACAAAGTACTTAAAAAACTACATACTCTTTAAAATGTAAGCAATTTTTAATGTAGATTTATCATGTGATAGCAGTTTATAGCTATCATTTCTTTCAACAGATTGAAGAAATATGGATACCATCACTGAAAAACTAGGCACTATTTTTGCCAGCTTTGTCATCTGTCAGCTTCTTTTCCACTTTGTGAGTTCTTGGTTTTCAGCAAAAGTTTTTCCACGTTTTAATAGTCTCAGCTTGGAAGTGAAGATTGCATGGAACTTAAGGTAAAGCATATAAAAATGTAACTGCTTAATTAAAAAAAAAAACTAGCTTTGTTATATAAAGTAGCTCTCTAAAATATCTCAAAAGACTATTTTTCACTGAGGACGTAACAAATTTTAAGGTCACATGTTATTATTTGACCTTAGGAGTAAAAGGAAAGAAGTAGATAGATCTCATACAAGACATCTTTTTAAATTCTTATATTGAAAGGTGTTATGACGAACTTATTTAACTTTCTGGGGAAGTATGGGAAGGTTAAAGTTAGACACCAGCTGTCTAAGACTACTGATTTGTCTTCTTTTCTGAAATATGTTAGATAAACACATGTTCTTTGGTAGTAATAAGAAAACATTCCTTGCGGTGTGAGTAGCCTATATATGGTATTAACTGGCTTAGGGCAGTTAGTTAAACACCACACACCAGAGAACACAGAACACAATCAGTGCATCCCAATCTCTCTTTTAATATACTTTTCATTACAATTCAGAGCCTTCTGGGATGTATTGTTTTGCTATGTAATTCTTTGTTTTTTTTTAATTGTGCTTCAGGTGAAGATTTACAGAACAAATAGTTTCTCATGACACAGTAGTACACATATTGTTTTATGACATTGGTTAACAACCCCACAACATGTCAACCCTCTCCCTTCTCGACATTTTCTTTTTTTTTTTTTGGTGAAAATATACATAGCTAAAGATACACCATTTCAAGAATTTCTACATCCACAGTTTAGTGACATCACTACGCTTTTCCGATTGTGTTGCTGTTCTTACTTTAGATGAAGGTTTACAGAACAAAATAGTTTCTCATTAAACGCTTAGTACACATGTTGCCCTATGACAATGGTTAACAACCTCTCAACACATCAACACTATCTTTACTCAACCTTGGGTTTCCTATCACCAGCTCTCCTGTCCCTTTTGCCTTCTAGCCCTTTTCCCTGGACTGCTGTGCCTCATTAGTCCCATTTGGTTTTATGGGGCTGTCCACTCCCACCGTCTGAATGGTGAACCTCGGAAGTGACTTCATCACTGAGCTAAAAGGGTGTCTGGGGGCCATACTCTTGGGGTTTCTCCAGTCTCCTTTAGGCCATTAAATGTGGTCTTTTTTTTGTGAGTTAGAATTTTGTTCTACATCCCTCTCCAGCTCTGTCCAGAGCCCTCTGTTGTGATCCCGCTTAGAGCAGTCAGTGGTGGTAGCCAGGCACCATCTATCGGTACTGGACTCAGTCTGGTGGAGGCCTTGGTAGCTGTGGTCCATTAGTCCTTTGAACTAATCTTTCCCTTGTATCCTGTCCTCTTCATTCTTCCTTGCTGCCGAATGGATGACAAGTGGAGTATCTTAGAAGGCTGCTCACAGGCTTTTAAGACCCCAGACACTACTCACCAAGGTAGAATGTAGAACATTGCCTTTATAAACTGTATTATGCCAATTGAGCTAGATGTTCCCCGAGACCATGGTCCCCACAGCCCTCCACCCAGCAATTCAGTCCCTCAGGGAGTTTGGATGTGTCTATGGAGCTTCCATGACCTTTCCTTGTACAAGTTTTGCTGGTTTCCCCGGTATTGTGTACTCTCTCACCCTTCACCCAAGATCCCACTTATCTATTGCCTATTTAGTATTTACTCCCACCCCTCCCATCCCTTGTAACCAACAAAGATTGTTACTTTATGTGTGTGCACTTTTTCATGGGTTTTTACAATAGAGGTCTCATACAATATTTGTCCTTTTGTGATTGACTTATTTCACTCAGCATAGTGTCCTCCAGCTTCATCCATGTTATGAGATGCTTCACAGATTCATCATTGTTTTTTCTCGTGGCATAATACTCCATTCTGTGTATGTACCATAGTTTGTTTATCCAGTCATCTGCTGATGGGCATCTAGGTTGTTTCCATCTTTTTGCTATTGTGAACAATGCCGCCATGAACATAGATGTGCATATGTCTATTCGAGTGACAACTCTTATTTCTCTAGGATATATTCCTAGGAGTGGGATTGCTGGATCATCTGGTATGTCTATTTCTAGTTTTCTAGGGAAGCGCTGTATCATTTTCCAAAATAGTTGTATCATTCTGCATTCCCACCAGCAGTGCATACGAGTTCCAATCTCCCCACAGCCCCTCCAACATTTGTTATTTCCAGTGTTTTTTATTTCTGCCGGTAATGCCGGGGTGAGATGGTATCTCGTGGTTTTAATTTGCATTTCTCTAATGGCTAGTGATCACAAGCATTTCTTGCTATGTAATTCTAAACTTAAAAATTCCTTTTTAGATTTTTTTAAAGAAAAAAATGGAAAAAGACAAGATATCTAAGGACCTAGAAATCTGCTGGAGTTTTTGATAAATTGGCTACACATTTTCTTTTTTTCCCTGCAACTCATTAATTTCTCACAAGGTTTCAAACAGAAAATGACTCTGATGACTGCTTCACCTCCTTTAAAGCATTTCATGTGCTCAGACATCCTTGTGCATTTGCAAACCTCAGTGAATGGTAGCAGCTATGGGAATACTTTTTGTTGTTATTTAGTTGAAGTAAATGCTAAGTATAAAACAAATTCAGCAAGTCTTTAAAATTGCTATAATTGTTTTTCATTGACTTTTCCTTTTAGAATTAAAGAACTTGTGCCAAATATCTTTAGTTTTTGAGAAAGAGCATATTTCACCTGACATCCTCTATCTTTGTTTGAGTCAAATTTTTTTGTGGTCATCCAAGTTTGCTTTTTTTTTTTAAATTTGTGGTAAATGTATAGGTAACGAAACAGTTGCCTTTTCAGCAGTCTTTGCATGTACAGTTCAGTGACATGAAGTATGTTCGTCATGTTGTTCAACCATCACATCATCATTAACCATTCCTGAATTTTTCCTTCATCCGTAAAAGACTCTCAGTGTCCCCTAAACATTGTGTCTTCCTTTCTGGTGCCACCCTGCCCACCTGTGGTAACCACTAGTGAACTCTGATTTCTAATACTTGTCTGTTCTAGACTTTTCATATAAGTGAGATCATACAATATTTGTCTTTTCTATTAGAATTATTTCATTCAGAATGGTGTTTTCCATGCTTATCCATGTGGTTTTAGGACTTCATTTCTATTTATAGCTGAGTGACATTCCATTCGTGTATGTACCACATTTTGTTTATCCATCCATCTGTTGATGAACATTTAGCCTGTTTCCACCTTTCAGGCATCCACTTTTGTAACTCATAATGTGAATAATACTTTTGTGGTTTTCTTTTACATCTAATACTGACTTGTCTGGTTCATACATGCTACAGTTCTTCTTGCCCAAAAAAGCAAGAATCATTGCTCCATATGTGTCTGAAAAATGAGAGGTATATTTTCTTGTCTTAAGAATAGCACACATTGTATAGTTCAAATGTACCATACTAAAGATACTAACCATTATTTCTTTTAAACTCTCTCTTACATACAAAGGTAGATGGAATGGCAGAAAAGTGAAGGAAGAGTGGGAAGTCGGGACATGCAGTCTTTGCTACGAATTCAAGCTCTCCATTTCTTTTTCACTGTGGTTAGGGTAGGCTAAACAGTTTTGAATCTTGTTGTTGTTGTTAGTTGATACTGAGTTGGTTCTGACCCTATGTACAACAGAATGCAACACTACCTGGTCCTACACCATCCTCACAATTGTTGTTATGCTTAAGCCCATTGTTGCAGCCACTGTGTCAATCCATCTCGTTGAAGGTGCTCTTCTTTTTCACTGGCCCTCTACTCTATCCAGTGTGACACCCTTCTCCAGGGAGTGGTCCCTTTTGATAACATGTTCCAAGTATGTGAGACAAAGTCTCGCCATCCTCACTTCTAAGGAGCACTCTCGCTGTACTTCTTCCAACACAGATTTGTTCATTCTTTTGACAGTCTAAGGTATATTCAATATTCTTTGCCAGCACCATAATTTAAAGGCATCAATTCTTCTTTGGCCTTCCTGATTCATTGCCTAGCTTTCACATGGGTAACTCCAAGTCAAACAAATAGGGAAGGTATAGAGAAATAGATGCAAACATCAAAGTGAAACAAAACAATGAAGTTAAAAAATGCTGTACATTATTTAGTCTTATCATTGCCATTCTACATTGCAGGGAATTACCATTTGGCAAACTGATTTGCCATTTGAAAAAGGAGCCTACGATTATGTAAAATTCATTTAGCTATTCAAATGGTGTGTTCTCTCTGTTTCTGCCTTTCTCATCATTTAGAGATACTCCTGCTTTCCCATCCAACTGTGAGGTAGAGAATGCAAAAAGGGAAAAAATTGGCTACTATTTGAATAAAGTACACATTTGTGTCTTGAAAACTAGTTTCCAGTCTTGAAACAGGCAGATCCATACAGCACACATAGTTCTTCCTAGTAATCAGGGAAAAGTCTCTGAACAGTGGGTGGTCTAAGCCATCTAACAGGAAAAAGAGAGGAGGAAAAACCTCACCAGAGAATGTTCACTTGAGGGCTAACAGTTTAACTGTAAACGAGAAATCGTTGTGTTTAATTGTTGCTTTCTCTGAAAAAGTACATACTTGTAGATTATGTATAAAAATATAATCTTAAATTTTTTAAATTTTCTTAGGTATTTTTATCCAGTTGCTATCATGTAGCTTAGAAAGTTCCATCATGTTGAAATACTCCTACTTTTAAATCTACTGCTCCAAAATTTAACTCTCCTGTTTATTTGAGCTATATCATTTCTATTGGTAATACTCAGACTATTAGTGAATGATTAAATCAGTTACTTTAAATAGCTGTTCTAAAAATGGTCACTAATTATTTCCTAGAAAACCAGTGTCTTTTTGTAAGCACAAACATTTCTTTTTACTCTTTGAAAAAAATATCAAAACATTTTATGTTGGGCAG